GTAGACAGAGGGTGAGGATGTAGGGGAAAAAAGCTTATAGCAACCTTGCCCCCTACCTTTGTGTAAAAGAATTAGTTAACCCTATTGATTCCTCAAACTCACCAGGCTCCCAAAATGTGTTCTGATCTACACAAAGCCTAGCTACTGGAAACAGGGAGCTAAGTTAATGATTGTGCAGACCCTTTGGAATTTGAAGCCTCCATTACTTAGGTTAAAGAAGAATATGGAATATGGAAAATCTCTGTCACCCTCAATTTTGCTGTGAACTTTAAACTGCTCTACAAGATAAAGTCAGGTGGAGGAGGAGGAGTAGAAGAAGAAATAGGAATACTGGCTTTTTGTATAGCTCTGCAACTAACTGGATTTGTGTGTATGTTTGTATAAATATTTAGTAAGAACTTTTTTCTTTTATTATCTACGAGAGGCCTGGTGCATGAAATTCATGCATGTGTGTGTGTGTGTCTCTTAGCCCAGCCTGCACCCTCTCCAATCTGGGACCCCTTGAAGGCAGCTGGACATCCCCCTCACATTCCAGTACTGCTGGCACCCAACCACTCACATGCCTGCCAGCCTGATCACTCCTAACAACTCCCCTGCCAGCCTGATCAAAGCCTAACTGTTCTGCTGGCCTGATTGCCCCTAACTGCTCCCCCCCCCCGCCAGCCTGGTCACCCCTTACTGTACTCCCCTGCCAGGCTGGTCAACCCTAACTGCCTTCACCTGCCAGCCCATTCACCCCCAACTGCTCTCCCCTGCAGGCCTGATTTCCCCCACCTCCCCTCCCCTGCAGGTCTAGTCATGCCCAACTGCCCTCTTCTGCCAGCCTGATCACTTCTAACTGCCCTCCCCTGCCGATCATCTTGTGTCCACATGGGGGCAGCCATCTTGTGTGTTGGAGTGACAGTCAATTTGCATATTACTCTTTTATTAGATAAGATGCTTTTATCATAAACATTATAGGATATTTTACATACATGTAATTATACAGAATCTTATGTGACTTTTTACCTCAGTGAGGTTTTGATACATTTTACTCTAGTTCTGTGTTGCTACATGTACTTATAATTCATTTTAAGTGCTTTATGGAATTCCATCAAATGAATACACCATAATTTATATATTCATGTGTTGATGGTCATTTGTTTTCCAGTTTTTACTATCACAAAGAAAACTCTTCCATGGACATTTGTTTATGCATGTGTATCCTTGTGTACAGATGCAAGAGTTTCTATTGATTAAAAATCTGAGTGGACTTACTTGGTCATAGGTTGTATATAAGTTCAGCTTCAGTAGATATTGTGAAATAGCTTTCCAAAGTACAAATTTACGCTACTACTAAGAGTTGATGAACGTTCCAATTGGTCCATGTCTCTATCAATACATGGTATTGTTGGTGTGTGTGTGTGTGTGTGTGTGTGTGTGTGTGTGTGTGTTTCTTTCTTTTCTTTTCTCTTTCATTTTAGCCACTCTGATGGGTATGTAGTAGTATCTTGTGTTTTTAGTTTGAATTTCCTTGATAACTAGTGAGCTGGAGCACATTTCATAGGTTTATCTTCTGATATGCTTTCTTAAAGCAGATATAGACAGGGATAAGAAATAAGTGAGAGGAAGTACATAGCAGGGAGTAGGACTGTAAAAAAAATTAATACAAATGAAACCACATTAAAATGGAGTTGGTACTGCCATCCCAGAGGAACTGCCGTATATGTATTCTGCCTCAAACCTGTGGAATGTTAAAACGGGGCAAAATAACCTTGGAGTAGGCATTGTGTCCCAAAGAACTGATGCAAAGATAACAAGAAAGCATATATTATGACTACTAGACTGAAAATTAAAAAAAAATGTTTAGAATTAGCATCATTATGTTAGCTTATCTGCACCACTTGAAATGCCTTCCTTCTATTGAAGTAATTGTTCCCCTTTCCTTTCTCATAAATACTAATTGCATTTGTCTCCAAATTGGAAGATCATTTGGGCTTCTGCCTGAATCAGTGCATCCTGAATAGCTTTTTAATTTTAATCCCAAATGCTTGTTGCCTTTCATTTTGGCTTTTTATTTTTAGATTAACATGCCTAAGAAATTGGGATAGAAAGCAAACACTGTAGAAAGGAAAGCCTAAGGGCATTAAATCAAAATTTCTGAGCAGACCAGTTTTCTGCATACTAGCTAGGTATACACAGATTCAGGAGTGTCTTAAGTGCAGCAGCTACAGGTGCCATAAAGGTGCATGTAAAAGTGCACATAAAATATGTTTGAAGTCCAATAATAAAAAACTTCTGGCAGCAACCTGGTCCAAGCTCTCCTTTCTACATCAGCAGCAGCTCCAATTGCTTCCTGGCATCTCTCATCAGTTTAGGTTCCCAACTGCCTCTTAATGCCCCTGTCTCAAAAAATGATAGCACTGGCTTTACAGATTCCAGCTAGAAGGCCAGATGATGCCAATGTTAAAGAGCACAGAAGGTTAAATATTCTTTCTCCCCAGCTTTATTGAAGTATAATGACAAAATACAACTGCATATATTTAAGGTGTACAACAAGATGTTTTAATATAAAAATAGTGAAATGATTCCTACAATCAAGATAATTAACATATTTATCACTTCACATAGTCACTTTTGTTGGTAAGTGATCTTTCTACCCAGCACTAATCAAACAACTTTCCACAGCTAAGTGGTGGTCTTAAGGTAGCAACCTTTATTCACAGTGTATAATCCTGGACACTGGTTCTAAATAGGACAGAGCAGAACTTATTCACAAATTATTGTGTAGGTATGTTCTAACTTGTCTGGGGGCTACCTAAAGGACTGATACAAGCTTCTGGTCTCTGTTTTGTCTAATTCAGCATTCAATCAGGGGAAAAAGTGATGGGCATTGCTTGAAAATATTGTAAGGCAAACAAAACCCTGCAGCTGCCTGGGATAAAGATTATGTTGAGCAATGTAATATACCACCCAAAGCCTGAGAGGAAAAGACAGAGAAAATTCCTTTGAGAAATTAGAACATTCAAAAGTGAGTGAGTATACTGGGGAATTTAGAAAGCCACAGACATATGCAGGGAAAATGCATGATCAGAAAAGACTTTAAGGTTTCACCTCTGGTTAATTTCCAGGTTGAGTTCAAGCAGGAAGTGAAGTCTAAGTCCAAGGTGTAAACAGCCAGAATGAGGACTGAAGGAGTCCTTGAACACAGAGCCAATCTACAAAGACTGAAAAAAAGTGAGATGTTTGTTTGTTTTAGGTCCTAGTGTTCCAAATATCTCTTCAAAATACCAGGTAAAAATGAGCTAAAATAAACTTCAGTGACAACACATAACATGGAATAAAGTTTTTGCAAAAATAATTTGGAAAGATCACTAAGTAAACAAATGACAACAACCCTCAACAATCAAAAACAGAAAAACTAGGGGAATGAGGAGAAGGTGATTTCCAGATTTTATATATATATATATAATTTTTAAGTGTAACTTTATTGTTGAAAGTATTACAGATGTCCTCCTTTTTTCTCCCATTAATCCCCTCCACCCTGCTCCTGCCCCACCCCCAGACCTTCACTATTGCCTGTGTCCATGAGTTATACACATATGCATATAAATTCTTTGGTTAGTCTCTTTCTGCCTCCTCCCCCCTCTGAAATTTGTCTGTTCCATGCTTCCATGTCTCTGAATCTATTTATTTGTCAGTTTATTTCGTTCATTAGATTCTATTTATAAGTAAGATCCTGTGATGCTTGTCTTCCTTTGACTGGCTTATTTTGCTTAGCATAATATTCTCCAGGTCCTTCCATGATGACTCTAAAAGTAAGAGATCCTTCTTTTTTATAGCTACATAGTATTCCATGGTGTAAATGTATCACTGCTTTTTTATCCACTCATCTACTGATGGGCACTTAGGCTGTTTCCAGATCTTAGCCAATGTAAATAATGCTGCTATGAACATAGGGGTGCGTATTTTCTTTCTGATTGGTGTTTCATGTTTCCTAAGATACTAGTGACTTAGTGCACAAAATTCCTGCACATTAAAAGAGAATTAGACTTTCTATTTTTTTTAATATATTTTATTGATTTTTGTACAGAGAGGAAGGGAGAGAGATAGAGAGTTAGAAACATCAATGAGAGAGAGTCATTGATCAGCTGCCTCTTGCACACCCCCTACTGGGGATATGCCCACAACCAAGGTACATGCCCTTGACCGGAATCGAACCTGCGGCCCTTCAGTCCCCAAGCCGACGCTCTATCCATTGAGCCAAACCGGTCCCGGCAGAGAATTAGACTTTCTAGAGAGACTCCTGGAAGATGGCTGCAGATTGGAAGGCAGACTACAAGGTAGTGTGTGAGAGAAGGAAAGGAGAGTGTATTGGACGCACAGGGAGTGAATATTTATGGGTGAGGGACAGCTATACACCAAGGGATTATGGGAGAGCGTGCTGGGACAGCTATACACCAAGGGCCTCAGGAGAGCGTACTGACTCGGTCATGGCACAGGTCGTCAGCTAAGGGCAGCACCCTCGCTACGCCAACGTCACATTCCTGGTTATCCTGGGACCGGCCGTGTAAAAGGAGATGTGCGGGCGACTCGTAGGGGCCTGCTGATGGAGATCGGGTTCCTGCCATTCACCTGCGTCTCTCCAACACCTTTGTCCTGCCTGGACGGTGAGGCTCGTCAGAGGGGCGTACCTCCTGCGCACACACTCCCCATCCCCTGGCTGTGACAACACAGCTGGGCGTGGGCCACGCCACCTAGAGGAGGAGAGATGCGGGAGGCCCCAGGGAGTCTGTGCTGACCGTGGGGCGTCCATGGCCACCAGTGGCTGAGACCTTGGGAAAGTGCCGCGGGCTGGTAAGACCGGCAGGTCAGGCAGGTGGGAAGGCAGGTAGGAGAGCCGGAGTGCGGACGGGACAGACACCGTACAGGGTAGTTGCTGCACTGATGACAAATCCAAGGTCACCTGCTCTCAGACCTGGTTCCATGGAATGAAGCAGGAGCAGGAGCGGGAGCTGCTGCCTGCTTTGGCGGTCTGCTGCGGGGCTGCCTGCTGCTGGGCTGCGGCTGCGGCTGCGCGGGAAGGCTGGGGCCGGGGGACTTCGCAGGGGGAGAAGCTGACTCTGCACTGTAGCCATAGTTCTCATTCCCATTTTTTAACTTTGGCTCAAACGTTTCTTGGTTTGTCTCCACATCTGCAGATTTCCTTAGAGAACTGGATTCTGCTTTCTCTTTCCGGGAGACACAGCAGCAGCAGAGATGACAATCAGAACAATGATCAGGATGAAAAGCAATGAGAATGACACTGCAAGTAGGACTATGGCCCAGGTAGGCAACGAGGCACCTAGTTGATCAGCACTGCCTTGGACGGAAAGAAAGGCGAATCCCTCGCGGCCACTGTTCTGGAGGCTGCACTTGATGCGCCCCGTGTCGCTGAGCTGCACGTCGTTGATGATCATGTCGGAGGTGAAGTTGCCGCCCTCCGTGTAGTTCTCGGCGGTGAAGCGGTTGCTGGTGATGATGACCTCCTTGGGCGTGATGCTCAGAACCACCGGGCCGTTCAGGGCCCACATGAGGAGGCTCCAGCCCTGGGAGATGGTGCAGTTGAAGCGGGCCTCCTGGCCCGCCCGCAGCTTGGCGTTCTTGGGCACTTCTATGATCTGGTAGCCGGATCCAAAGGCTGCTAGGCCAGCCACCACGACCAGCGCGGCCAGGACCCCTTTGCAGCTGCCGTCCATCCTGGCATCTTCTCACCCGAGGCTTCGGTGGAGGGAGACCGGGACTCGGGGTGCCTAAGAAGAGGCCAGGGGGAAGCACTGGGGGAGACAGGAGCAGCAGCCAGAGTCCTCATTCATTCAGTCGCATCCCCCAAGCCTAAACGGCCATCCTCGCCCCCGAGAGGCACTGCTTTTTTTTTCTTTAAATCCTTGCTTTTCATTGGTAAGCCCAAGTACATAGGATCCCCCAATTGGGGACACTCTCCGAGACTGCAGAGGAAAGTTGTTTTTGTGGAACCTAGGGATCAGAGCAGGGAGTAACGATAAGAGAACCAGCTCTGGGGCAGTCCATACTCCTAAACCAGTATTAAGTGCGACAGTGAAAATAATATCTAAATACTGCCTAGCCCTTTATGGTCGGCCGCCGCCGCGGTGCTCTCAGAGTAAGGTGACCAATGGGCTGTAGGCGCTGGGGCACGAGACGCGGGGTAGGCGGGGAGGGTGGGCGGAAGGGGTGAAAATCCCATCACGGAGAAATCAGCCTGGAAGTTCCCGCCTCCTGCGACACTGAGGAGGCGGGTCTGAGAAGGGCCACTGCTTTCTCCAGCGAGGAGGAGGGCGGAGCCCGGCTCAGGGATAAAAGGCAGTGAAAGAAAGCCCTTTTTTTAAAAATCGTGGAGAAGGGAGACAAAATGGCGGAAGAATAGACAGGCGGATTCTGAGCCCTGTCCCAAACAGAAAGAGAGAGCAGCTGACGGTCTTGTGCTGTGAGTGTTTATCAGCAAGCTGGGAGACAGTGATCACCAGAAGAAACTGCTGGGGGGCCGCTGACAAGGCTGCCCCTCCCAGGGAAGCACCCACACAGGGCTACCTCCCTTCCCAGAACTACCTACCGGCTTGGACGGGGAAACCTCGCCATCTTGAGAGGAAGAACCCGGATCCCAGGCGGCCGAACACTTGGGCTCACAGGAGTGCCCCACCGCATGGCGAAAAGGTCAGACTTTGCGGGGAGAGGGTGAGTGAGCGCTGGCGGCGAAGACAAAGCCAGCGCGTGGATACTGGAGGACAGGGGCCGTGATTACAAGTAGAAGCCCCAGCTGTTGGGCGGGTGTCACCCGTGAAAGTGGACGGGGCTCCTAACAGGGGAGATATCTAAAGAGCAACACATTTGGATCTGGCTTGGAGGGATATCGGAGAGTTGTGTGAGATTGCAGTTGACTTGGACTTACCCCCTCCCCGCCTCCATAGATCCTGTCCCAGAGAGGGGGAAAAAAAGCTGGAGAGGCTTTAGAGCCTGGGAAGTCAACCCAGAAACACTGCCACCCAGAGGCTAAATAACAAATTGACTCTAGTGTAATAAAAACAAAGCAAAACCTGCTTAAAAATCAGGACTGGATCAATAGAGGAAGCGAATGACCTTCATTACTGCAAATTTTATTTAAATTTTTAAAATTTTATTATTTTTTAATTTTAAAATTTTTGTTTTTTATATTTGTTTTCATTATTTGCAACGTTTACTCAAGAAACTATTTTTTTCTTTTTCCTCACTTGATTTTATCTTTATAATTATCACATTGTATACATAATCAACATTATTACTACTACTATTTTAACTTTTTTATCTTATTTTCTTTTGTTTATTTTTATTATTTTTATTTTATTTTATTTTTAAATTTTTTTAATTTCAGGATTACTGTCCTATAGTCTTTATTTTTCCATCTCCAACGCTTTATTCTATCTCAACCCTACCTGTATGCCTTCACTCTCTTTCCAAACTTTTCTTTTGGTACCCTGTTTACCTTAACCCTTTCCTGCTCTAGATTTTCCCCATTCTTTCTGTCTACCCCCTCCTAAAATTTCACCCTACTTATATATATCTAATTTCCAACCCCCTGCTCCAAGCCCATTCACACCTCCCTCACCACTGTCCTAAAAACAAAAAACAACAACAATAAAAAACAAGTCTTTATCTCTTTGAAGTTGTATGTTGAATGTTAACTATACTGCAGTTGTATACTTTTTTATAAGATTGATTTGCCTATTCTTTTTGTTTGATTGTATGTTTTTCTTAGCTGGGTTCCAGTCACCTTTACTGGTGGTTATTAATATCGCAAACACATTTCTATTCAGTGCCTTGTGTGTTGTACCTGGTTGTGTTGTATTTTGTGCCTTTAAATGAAAGCAGGAGAGAGAGAACTACACAACCAGATGTCCTAAAAAGAGAAATCATGGGAAGACAAAGAAACAGCCCTCATATGAAAGAAAAGCAGGCTTCACCAGAAAAGGAAGTAAATGAGATAGAGGCAAGCAACCTACCACAGCAAGAATTCAGACTAATGATCATAAGATGGCTAAAAAGAATGGAAGACAAAAATTTGACAATATGAGTAAGAACAAAGAGGAAATGAAGAAGAACCAAGAAGAAATGAAAAATGACATCGCTACTGTAAAGAACTCAATAGAAAGCATCAAAAGTAGACTAGAAGAAGCAGAGGACCGCATCAGTGAGCTAGAAGACAAGATGGAAAAAAATACCCAATTAGAGCAGCTTCTAGAAAAAAAAAATTAAAAAGCAGGAGGAGAGCCTAAGGGAACTTTGGGACAACACAAAACAAAACAATATAAGAATAATAGGGGTTCCAGAAGGAAAGGAAACTGAGGAAGACATGCAAAATGTATTTCAAGAAATAATGAAAGAAAACTTTCCTGAGATAGAGAAGAAAAAACCCACACAAATCCGAGATGCTCGCAGAGTCCCAAGCAAAATGAACCCCAGAAGACCGACCCCAAGGCACATTATAATTAAACTGGCAAACAACAATGCCAAAAAAGAATTTTAAAAGCAGCCAGAGAGAGACAGAAAGTTACATATAAAGGAACCTCCATCAGACTAGCAACTTATTTCTCCACAGAAACTCATCAGGCCAGAAGGGAATGAGATGAAATATACAAAGTCATGCAAAGGAAGGGTCTGAATCCAAGAATACTGTACCCAGCAAGGCTATCAATCAAAACTGAAGGTGAAATCAGGAGCTTCACAGACAAAAACAGACTAAGGGACTTTATCTCCACCAAACCAGCAATGCAAGTAATGCTAAAAGGTAAACTGTAAAATTAAAGAAATAGAAAGCAAAGAAGGAACACATGGGTATAGAATAAAAATGGCATCAAATAAATACCTATCAATAATAACTGTAAATGTAAATGAATTAAATGCTCTAATCAAAAGACATAGGGTAACGGATTGGATAAGAAAACAAGACCCATATATCTGTTGTCTAAAGAAACCCACTTCAGAAAAAAAAAAAAAAAAAAGCACACAGACTGGGGGTGAAGGGATGGAAAAATGTTTTCCAGGTGAATGGAAATGAAACAAAAGCTGGGGTAGCAATACTTATATCTGACAAATTAGATCTCAGAGTGAAGGACAAAACAAGATATAATGAAGGCCACTTCATAATACTAAAGGGAGCAATCCAACAAGAAGAAATAACCCTGGTAAATATATATGCACCCAATGTGGGAGCAGCCAAATACATAAAAAAAAAAACTGCTGGAGGACATTAAGGGAGAGATTAATAGCAATACAATCATAGTAGGAAATTTTAATACCCTACTGTCACCCTTTGACAAATCATCTAAACAAAAAATCAGCAAAGAAATATCAATCCTAAATGACTCGCTAGACCAGATGGAATTAACTGACATCTTCAGAACATTCCATCCCAAAGCTACAGAATATGTATTCTTCTCAAGCACACATGGGACATTCTCAAAGATAGACCACATTTTGGGATATAGGCAAAGTCTCTTCAAATTCAAGAAGATAGAAACCATATCAAGCATATTCTCAGATCATAGTGGCATAAAACTGGAAATTAACTACAATAAAAGTAATCCAAAGAAATCAAAAACATGGAGACTAAACAGCATGCTATTAAACAAGGACTGGGTTACCAGAGAAATCAAGGAAAAAATTAAAAACATCCTGGAAACAAATGACAATGAAAACACAACTATCCAAAATCTATGGGACACAGCAAAAGCAGTTTTGAGAGGGAAGTTCATATCCTTACAAGCCTATTGCAAAAAACAAGAAAAAATGGTAACAAATTATCTAACTCTACAAGTCAAAGAGTTAGAAAAAGAGCAACAAGAAAAGCCCAGTGTAAGCAGAAGAAAGGAAATAACAAAAATCAGAGTGGAGATAAATGACATAGAGACCAAAGAAACAATACATAAGATCAACAAAACCAAGAGCTGGTTCTTTGAAAGGATAAACAAGATAGATGAACCTCTAGCCAGGCTAACCAAGAAACAAAGAGAGAGAATTCAAATAAACAAAATCAGAAACAAAAGAGGTGAAATAACAACAGTCCCCGCCGAAATACAAAGGATTGTTACAAAATACTACAAACAACTCTATTCCAACAAACTGAACAACCTGGAGGAAATGGACATATTCCTAGAAAAATACAATCTTCCAAAAATCAGGAAGAATCTAAAAATATCAATAGAGCAGTGAATTGGGAACAGTCATCAAAAAGCTTCCAGCAAACAAAAGCCCAGGGCCAGATGACTTCACAGGAGAGTTTTACCAAACATTCAAGGAAGAACTAAAACCTATCCTCCTCAGACTATTCCAAAAAGTTCAAGAGGAAGGAACACTTCCAAACTCCTTCTATGAAGCCAGCATCACCCTAATACCAAAACCAGATAAAGACAACTCAATGAAAGAGAATTACAGGCCAATACCATCAAGAACATAGATGCCAAAATTCTCAACAAAATTCTAGCAAATCGGCTCCAGCAGAGCATCACAAAGATCATACACCATGACCAAGTAGGATTTATCCCAGGAATGCAAGGATGGTACAATATCCACAAATCAATAAACGTGATACATCACATAAACAAATTGAAAGATAAAAATCATATAGTCATATCAATTGATGCAAAAAAAGCATTTGATAAAACCCAACACCCTTTCCTGATAAAAACTCTCAACAAGGTGGGAGTACAAGGATCATACCTCAATATAATAAAAGCTATATATGATAAACCCACAGCCAACATCATACTCAGTGGGAA